GGGGGGGGGGGGGGGGGGGGAGTGTAGGGGTCTAAGGGCTCTGAGTGGTTGAGGGAGGAGGGTGGTTATTCAGGTGGGATCAGTATTTCTAACCTGACTTCCAGTGAACCTGTGTGTTTGTCTTCATAACACACGCCCACATCCTTGCTTTCACTGTCCACATATGCAGGGTTAAAGACAGTGGGAATGGAGCTGGATTCTAAAAACCCTCTTTGCAACCTCAGACCACGAGTGGGGTGGGGAGGCTCTGCACAGCCTCACCCTGCAGCCCAGCCCCTGCCCCCAGAGGCCTGCAGCCTCTGCCTTCCCCAGCAGGGTTGCAAAAGTTCTTCACTTCTGTCTTCCAGATTTCCCCTTTCCCTTTGCTTGGGTGACTGGCTACCTGGCCATCCTCGTGGGAGCAGGCATGACCTTTGTTGTGCAGAGCAGCTCCGTGTTTACGTCGGCTATGACACCACTGATAGGTGAGTTTCTCCCTAGGATCTTCCTCTGGCTGCCACCGCCTTTTCCTGTCACCCTCAAGGGCTGATGCCATGTGCTTTTCTTCAGGCATGGGTGTGATAAGCATTGAGAGGGCGTATCCGCTCACGCTGGGCTCCAACATTGGTACCACGACCACCGCCATCCTGGCCGCCCTAGCCAGCCCGGGCAGTACACTGAGGAGCTCGCTCCAGGTCAGGGCATGCTTCATGGGGCAGGGGATCTGTGGGTGGGATCCGTCCCCATTTGTAGTCTTGCAAACCGGTTTCCAACAAGAGCTAAGCCTTTCTGTTTTATCCAAAAGATGGAACTAATGTGTGGAGGAGAAGCCACAGGGAGACAGATTTGAGGAGCTCAATATGAGAACAGCTATCTACTCCTAGAAAGGTAGTGACCTAACCTCTGAGCTTAAATCCCCTGATCTGAAAAATAGACAACACAATCCCTATGTCATTAGGATTATTATAGGCACCACATTTTTGGAGGGTCAGGGAGAGGGGGCGCAGCTGGCCAATACAGGGGTCCGAACCCTTGACCTTGGTGTTAGATCACTACACTCTAACCGATCATTAGGATTATTATAAAGCTCTGACAAAGCACTGCCTAAAACCATGCCATCCTATAGAAATATGTAAGTGTATAATATAGAATTGCATAGGTAATTTGTAATGTTTTATTAGCCACATTTTTCAAAAGTAAAAAGAAACTGGGAGACTCATTTGAATAATGTATTTGATTTAACCCATTATCACTTCAACATGTAATTGATGTAAAAATATTGGTGAGATAGTTGACATTCTTTTTTGGACAAAGTCTTTGAAATCCGGTGTGTATTTTACACTTAGAGCACATCTTGAGGTGGACTAGCCACACCTGAAGCCAGTGGCTAATGTATTAGACAGGGATGGTATAAAGCCCTTAGGCTGGTGCCTGGCACCACAAACAGGAAGGTAGCCCAGTGCCTGGCCTCTGGAGCCAGCCTACCTGGATATGAATCCCACTTCTCCCATCTCTTACCTGGGAAAATAGCTTAACCTCATGGTGCCTCAAGTGTCAATGGTGGCCACTTCATAGGGTGTTTTTTGAGGATCGAGGTAATCCATATAAAGTTCTTAGAACAGTTGCCTTGTACACAGCAAACTTTCTATAAGCATCAGTTGCCACAGCTATCAATTTTTAGTAACTGTAGCCATCCTTCCTGTCTCTCACCCCTCCTTAGAATCAGCCAGTGAGCCGAGAAAGCCAGCAACGCTGTGAGCCTTTCTTTCTGCCCCACCAGCTCTTAACTGCTCAGCTGGAAGCTGCAGAGCCCAGGCCCAGGGCAGCCGTGGGCAGATCCACTGTTAGATGGGGCCTGCAGACTTCAGGCCCTGGATACTGAGCTGTGACTCCACCTGTCCCGCTCCAGGCCTCTCCTTCTTCCCCCTTGAAACGTAGTAGTCCTCAGGGAGTACGGGTCGTCCCTCTCCGGGCTGAGCTATAAAGACAAGGAAGACCCCTGAGTCTGCCACCGATGGCTGCTGGAAGTCCTCGCCCTCATTCCATCCCCACTGGGCAACAGACCTCCTCACCTGCCCAACCTCTTGTGTTTCAGATCGCCCTGTGCCACTTTTTCTTCAACATCTCCGGCATCTTGCTGTGGTACCCCATCCCGTTCACCCGCCTGCCCATCCGCCTGGCCAAGGGGCTGGGCAACATCTCTGCCAAGTACCGCTGGTTCGCCGTCTTCTACCTGGTCTTCCTCTTTGTCCTGACCCCGCTGGTGGTGTTCGGCCTCTCGCTGGCCGGCTGGCAGGTGCTGGTGGGCGTAGGGGTGCCCATCATCTTCCTGCTCCTCCTGGTGCTGGGCATCAGGCTCCTGCAGGCCCGCTGCCCGCGCGTCCTGCCCACGAAGCTCCAGAACTGGAACTTCCTACCCTTGTGGATGCACTCGCTGAAGCCCTGGGACAACCTCATCTCCCTGCTCACCAGCTGCTGCCAGACCCGCTGCTGCCTCTGCTGCCGCCTGTGCTGCCGCGCGTGCTGCCTGCTGTGCGGCTGCCCCACGTGCTGCCGCTGCAGCAAGTGCTGCGGAGACCTGGAGGAGGGGCAGGAGGTGGAGGGCATCCCGGTCAAGGCCCCCAAGGCCTTCGATAACAGAGCCATGAGTAGAGAGGCCCAGGATGAGGTCAAGTCCCAAACTGACTCCCTGGGCACCAAGACCATCTCCAGCAGCACAACCTTATAGGGGGTGGCCCAGAGGTTGGGGGTAGGACTTCACACCTGACACACTCTGCTTGCCTTCCCTTCCTTGAGGGGATTTGTTCCCCATTAAGAAGTGAAATAGACATTAGTCCTAACTCCTCATTCCCCTTGGCCCAGGATATCACCCCGCAGGGCAGTTTTCTCTCAGCCCCCACTCCCTTGGTCTTGTGCTCCCAGGAAGGCACAGGACCACACTGAAGGAAATTTAGCCAGTGACCCTCGCTAGACAGATGGTCATGTCCACACTTGCACATGGCTGGATGGTCAACAGGACCTATGTTCAACCTCAAACCCTTTTCTTCAGAAGGAAAAGGCCCGAAGGAGGAATTTATGAAAGGTTCTCAAGGGTGCATATGTGTGTCTGTATGTATATATGTGAGCAAAACTTTTTTATTATGGTAGAGCTCAGGTCTCTCTCCTTTTTACCAAAGATAGGCTGCAATGGAGAGCAGCTGCTCCCAGGCATCCTTGCCCCAGACCACCCAGGATATGGGAAATATTGTAATTGTTTGGAGACTTGGAGAAGACCCCAGGGGTGGGCCTTTCTCACTTCCTAGTGCTCCCCAAGTCCCCTGTCGGGTTTTCCTCACCTGGGCAGGTATGGCTAATCCAAGCAGTTTACCTGCAGTGTGCTGTTCTCAAGTTTCCAGGATGGGAGCCACACCTGAACTGCAGAGGAGGTTCAGGTGCTCTTTAGTTCACCTGTTGCTCCGGTCTTCACAAGAGAGTTCTCTAAGCCCTCTCTCTGCTGCTGCTGCCTCCAATCCCAGGAAGCATGGAATAGTTTTACATTTCACACTTTCTGTGCAAGATGACTTTCTGGGGCAGCTTTTAGTGGTCAACTTCCTTCCTTCCTTCCTTCCTTCCTTCCTTCCTTCCATCCATCCATCCATCCATTGGAATTCCTTTCCAAATGGTTTTCCATTTTCCCATAGAGGAGCTTTCATTTCCTGCCCTCTCTTCATGCCTGCAAAGCTCCAAACTTTTCTCAGGAGGAGGAAACCAGGGCCTGGCTGGAATGCCCATGAGCTGTGACCATCAAGTAGAGTTCATGTGTGTCTGTGGGTCAAAGAGGGGTGCTCCTTTCGTCCCAGATGACTCTGTGCCTTTAGAGCCCCTGTTTTATTTACACCACTGCTCTGCCCTCAACAATCCCACTTCTCCCGGTGAGTGACCCTGTCCCCCCCATCCCAGCTTCTGCATCGTCTTAACAGGTTGGGACACCAAACTGAGCCCTCCCCTGACCTTCCCCGTGTAGATACCAATTCCCAAACAGAGCCGTTTATGCTCTCTATTTATAGTCACGCACTGTACAGCATTTTACATAAGTTATATATTAAACAGTTTGTGTGATTTGTGTTTTATAGTGCTCTAATTTGGAAAGGAGGCAGGGTTCTTCTGTGAAACGTATAGAAGAGAAAGGCCACCTCTGTATATTTTGTCATACCGCCTTTGAGACATGCCTCTGTGGCCCTGCCCACACCACACTGTCTGTAAATATGTAAGTTAAACCCGGGCAGGGGCTGTGGCCGTCTTTGTACTCTGATGATTTTAAAAAATTGTGTCCTTGTACTTGCGCCAATTGTATTTTTTTTTTTTTTTTTTACTGGTTGTGGGAAGGGAGAAATAAAAAAGATAATCAAACCCAAAAGGAGTATGCTGCTTTCAATTACAGGGTAGTTGGGGCATCCTTGAATCTATTTCCTAAAAATGTGACGTCTCTTCCCTCACTTAACGTCACTACCCACCACCCAGCACCAGGGTCGCCTTCCTATTTTGTGGGGCCCCTTGTTCAAAAATCAGGGGAAATGTGCCAGTATAGGTACCAAAAATATAAAGTTTTCTTTTCATTCACGGTCTTTCTTGACTTCTCATGGAAATTTGCTGTTGAATGCTATTCTAAGTAAAAAATTAAAATTTAAATGATTAGTATGAATTTTACTGTTCATCTTTATATTGTGCGATACCAATTTCAATGAAAATGTAAGAGCTTTTAACTCACATGTGGGCTCACAGAAATCACACAATTCATATTTTATAGCTCATGCATATATTTTGTTCCTACAAGAACAGTGGGAATGCTGCACAAAGCTAATTGTTTCAATTTTACTTCTATATGTGCACATTCTACAGTCCTCTCTACCTTACTGATGTGTCAGGCAGAACTGGAAGGAAAAGGAACTTTTTTTTTTCAGGGGGTGGGAGGAAGCGTGGCATGTATAGAGGATCCGAACCCTTGACCTTGGTGTTATGAGGCTGTGGCATCACCAACTGACCTAACAGGCCAGCTCTTGTGTTGTCCTTTCTATATCATTTTCAGTCTAAGTGGTTGGCTAATAAAAGGGAGCAATATGAGCGAGAAAGAATATGGTGGAGTGCCTTAGTCAGTTGTGTGTCTTGAAACACCAACGCCTTTCTGCTGCATTTGAAGAAAGTTCTGGTTTTAATAGAAAGACTGGCTTCTTAGTGCTGTCAGTACTCCTGTTTACCTGGTGCTCGGCCCACCGCTCTGTGCCTGCCAACATAGTAAAGTGTTAAGGAAAAGGACAATTTTAAATTAAGAAATGCATGCAGGAGGGCTCTACACCTCTTTGTGGGCCAGCTGCAGCACGTGCATAGGACCGGGTCAGTGTTGCGGAGTGAGGCTGAGATGGGACAGCTGGACACTCCTGGCTCTGTTTACTTCCTCAATGTCAATTTCCTCATCTGGAATATGGGACAGTAACACTCGGCTTCCCATGATTAGTAAAATGAAATAATGTATATAAACATTTAGCCCAGGGTGGGTTTACCCTAAGTGCTTGGTTATGCCTCGAAATACAGGGGACTGACATGCACGGCCAGGGTGCAGGATGCACTTCCCTTGGCTTGTCTGCACTCTTCCTTCTCTGGGTACTTCTGAAGAGAAATGCAAGTCAAAGAAACTGCTGTCACTGACATGCACGGCCAGGGTGCAGGATGCACTTCCCTTGGCTCGTCTGCACTCTTCCTTCTCTGGGTACTTCTGAAGAGAAATGCAAGTCAAAGAAACTGCTGTCAACCCAAGAAACCGCAGCCAGAACTGGCCTCGGATTTATTATTAGGATGAGCTGGATGAACGTCCCATGACCTGGAGTCAGTCTAAGGACCGGGCTCAGAAGCTGTGGGAAGACAGAACGCAAGGAACACTCAGCTTTTTGGAAACAAATGGTTGTGCTGTCCTCTGACGAGAGACTCACTTTCTAGCCCCAACCAATGGAAGTGGTGGCTGGTGTTCTCAAAAGGTTTTCACACTTATTTTTGTCAAGGTTGAAAATCACCTAATTCTAGAGAGTGCAACAAGTGGCATTGGTATTTGTCCCCTCCCTCCCTGTGTGGCTGTCTGTCTCCCTGACTCCTCAGAGTCAATTCTTTCCAGCTCTTTCGGTACTTTCTTTTGGTCTGTCATGCCACAGTTAACGTGTGATAATAATGGCTTTTTCTTAATGAACCCATTGACCTGTATTTTGGGAGATGGGGTTTAGCTCTCATATCCTGCCACCACTACTGATGGCCATTCTCCAAACCAGTAGTCAATATTACATTACTATTATAGAAATGTGACAAACTGCAGAACTAAATGGTGCACCTTCATTTTCTTTGTTTTCATCAGCGCTGTTGTATATCTATAAATATTTTTTTCCAGTTGCTCCCAAGTGGCTGATAACTTTTTGGTTTCTGTCTCTCTCCCCACTCTGTTACCCTCCTGTAACATCATAAACTGGTGGCTCTGTCAGCCTTTAGCAACTATCGTCTTTGGGCTTTCCACTCTTCTAGGATGGATCCCCTGTTTTCTCAATTTTATATTTCTTTATTTCTTTATTCTCTAGTTTCAGTACCCAAGAATGAGTATGAAAAAGTAAAAATTTTTGAGTCCATGCGTGTGTGAAAATGTATTTCATCCTCACACTTGATGGATAATTTGGAAACTACTGCCTTGGCATGTAGAAGGCTTTTCTCCACTGTCTTCTGGAATCTCGGTGATAGGAGACCATGGGGGGAGGAAGGCCCAGCAGCTAGCTGGCACGTCACCAGACACGAGAATGAGGCCATCTCAGACCATCCAGCCCCTGCCTGCCAGGTGAGGCCAGCAGAACAGCTCAAAAAAGCATCGCAAATTGCTGACCACAGAATAAACAAATGAAATGGTGGTGACTTTTAAGGCACTAAGTTTTGGACCTGTTAGACAGCTCGTGGTAGATGAGACAGAACGCAACTCTTTTGCGTGTAGACTTTGGCTTCCGTCCGATGCATTTCCTTCACCTCATTGCCCACCCCCTTGCCTTCTTACCATGACTCCTTGGGTTTAATTCCTTCAGTGAATAAACCTCCCATCTCCTGCCGGGGGTGGTAGAGCAGACCCACAGGACCACAAGGCTCCACCATTTGGTCCTTAGCCTCAGCTGCTAATATGTCATTGGTGTGTCACATTAGCAGAATAAATCCTCCCGTTGGGTACTGACTAATGTATGGCCTGTGAGTACAGCATAAATTATGCTGCCATGAAGCCAAATCACACCTTCTCATTTGGCTCAGGTTAATTACACAGCATCCAAAGGAGTTCTGGGGATGCCTGTTGGGACTGAGGTTGTAGTTTTCATCCTTCACTTCGTTGGGGTCTTAGGAAGTTGGTAAATAATATCCCTTTCTTCCCTTATAGAATTAGGAATCAATTGAAAAATAAGACAGAAGACAGACTGATGGAGATGAAAATATCCATTGTATTAATAAGGCAGCTGATTGTAAAATGTAGCTTTTAGATTTGCAGGGGAAAGCGGGGACAGAGGAGACTTACTAACGCTTTATCCTTGAATTTTCTTACCCAGTCACAGGCAGAGATGAATGCTACTGGCTTCCCCCATGGGATCAGAGCCCTCCCTGAGGTTACCACAGCTGATGTGCATGAATGAGACCTGAACAAGGCCTGGCGTGGGCCGGCCCAAAGCTGAGCATGCTCCGTTTCTT